ATGAATGTCCACTACAGATTTCCTGGCAGTGGACCCATCCAGTTGTGTAGCACAACTTTCTGCTTGCATCATGTGATCTCCATGATTATGTTAGCAGCCTTTGTGCCAATGGTCATGTCCAGTTGTTGTGCATTGTGCCCCAGTTCTTGCCGGCAAAGTGTTGCCTCCCTGATTGTTCTAGCAGGTTGTGGTCCTACCCAGCTGTGCAGCACATGCCTTTGCTGGCAGACAGTTGCCTCCATGAATGTCCTGGCAGGCTGGGGTCCTACCCAGATGTGCAACATGTGATATTGCTAGCAGAGTGTGGCCTCTATGAGGGCCCTGACAACCTGTGGGATTGTTGCCTCCATGTGCAAAGACCCTCTGGTCTTTGGCAACAGAGTTTGGCTCGGTTTGCAGCCCTTTAGGCGGGAAATTCGTTAGGGAACTATGTGGGGCGGTACACTCTCCCCAACTTGAAATGGCGACAACTGCGGCGCCACAAAGTTTCAAGTAATTACGAACTTGATCTTTCAACGGCCATAGCTCCTCATATTTTTCCCACAATATCTTCTCGGGTGGTTTCCCCTTCCAATGGATAAGAAAGTGGGCGCTTGAATTGCCATAACCTACTCCTTGTACCACTTGATGGTTGATAATGGCCTCGACTTCCTTGTCGACGACCGAATGGGTTATGAAAATATTTGGTCGGCTGGATTGCCCCCGTTCCACATCACCCTTGTCTCCAAATGGTGCCTTTGACGGACTGACATGCCCCGACTCAAGAAACTCTTCAGGTTGCTTCCTTGAATCCTCCAACTTCGGAGGTGCCATGCGATACGCACCCATGGCTTGTGGCTTTGCCCCCGGTATGAAGTCCTTATTCTCCTTAAGGACTTGTTGTTCGCATGGAGGCAAGGCTTCATCAACCTTGTCCTCCTTGGTATCTGTCCCGACTACCAAAATCGTGGCTCCCTCTTCCTTGAAGCCTTTCACGACTTGCATCATGGACAATTGACTTACAACTTGCGGCACCCGAACTGTTGGTACCACACATGGACCCTTCGGGGCATAAATGTAAATCAGGTTGACATTTGAGCAAATGAAGGCCTTCACTTCATTCCAATAGTCCAATCCCAATATCGGATCGAACATATCCATGGGAATGACAAAGAAACTCACTTTTCCCTGCCAAGCTCCTAAGTCGAGCTGCACATTGCGTGCAACTCCGTATACATGCCTAGGGATGGCGTTCACCGTCTTCAACACGGAACTGCTACGACCAATCGCAATGCCAAGTGACTTAGCCTTTACTTAGGACACAAAGTTATGTGTCGCACTGGTGTCCACCATGATATAGACAGATTGTCCGTTCAATCTTGCATCCACGAACATGGATCCTGACTCCCTCGCTTGGGGCTCCTTGCCTATCACATCGTTGCCTAACGAGTGGATCAATTTGGCAATATCATGCTTCCCGTGAGTAACTTGCTTCAAAGCAGGCTCTTTGGCCAGTACCATGTTGCCAAGATGAGCTATGCCCGGCGTTTGTTGAACTGTTGCTTCGGCTTGTTCATTAGCTTGGACTCACTCATCTGTTTGCCTCCGCTCGACCGCAATTAAGGCACCAAGTTTCTTCAAAGAAGAACAATCCTTGTAGCCAATACTGGGGTCCTTGCAGATGTAACAATCGGTGTGGGTACCAACTTCCTTCTTCCGTTGGTGATATATGTCGCCCCAATGAGACACCTTGTTGACTTCTTCTCAGGAATCGCGACCCGGGGAAGCGGGTTGCTTGTCCTTGTCTCGATATCCATGGTCTCTACCAAGTCTGGAGTTGGTGTCCTTTGTCTTTGTGGATTTTGTCCTAAAATCATTTAAGGACTCAGTCACCGTGATAGCTTCATCGACGTATGTGACTTGACGCCGCTGCAATTCCTGTTTGGCCCAGTTTTGAAGGCCATCTATGAAATAGAATAGAAAGACATCGCTTGCTATGTTAGGAATTTGCAGAATGAGTTTAGTAAACTCCTTCACGTACTCACTAATGGAAGTTGTTTGCTTGATCTCTCTCAATTTACGACGTGCCTCATTGACAATATTTTGGGGGTAGAACTGGCGCTTCAGTTCGTACTTGAACTGTTCCCAGCTCTTGATGGAGCAAGTTCCCTTCTCCATGTCGGCTTTCTTTCTCCTCCACCATAACATAGCAGTGTCGGCTAGATACATCGTTGCTTCCCGGATCTTAGAAGCTTCATCAACGATGTTGAGGTGCTCAAAGTAGTCCTCCATCTTCCAGATGAATTTCTCTACATCTTGAGCATTTCGTTCGCCCCTAAACTCCTTCGGTTTTGGGCCCTCAATTTTGGTTTCACGCACTGTTACATGACCAGTGCCACCAGCAAACCTTGTTGCCTGCAGTTGTTGCTTTAGGGCTTCAACTTCCCCGTGCAACACCGATACAACCTCGACCAGTTTAAGCTCAAGGGTGATCAGTCCATCCCTGTGCTCCTTGAACACTTGATCTAACGTCTCTTTTATGTCTCCTAGATCTTCTAGGGCAGTAGAATCAAGTGAGCAGAAGTTGCCTTCAACAACTTCAGTACGCCGATTTAACGCAACTAAACCAGCCTCGATGAGATCCATTCTCACGTCTAAAAGATTTGTGGCAGAACCCTCACAATCTTCGCCATGGCCAACCAGTTATAGGGGTGGCTTAAAAGCTGGCACCTCACTTGTTATGGCTATGGCGGGATATCGCACTTTACTTGTCCCTCTCTTCCTTGGTTTCTGTTTTCATGTTGGTGATTCGTCTCTCCCACGAATGTTGCCTAAGGTAACATTATCTCCATCCGTTGCCATGATAATAACCTTTTGCTCTGATACCACTTGTCACGAGACCGATTTAGAAGGACTCCGTGCGGACAGCAAGATAGCATGATTGTTACTCTAGCTTCAGTGCTAACCAAAAAATAAGCACAATGTCTTGCTTGAATCAAGGCAATCACACAAACTCAAATGTTGGGAAGACAATGAACTGAAAGGCACATAAAGGATGGGAGGCCAAGGCCAATTTTCGGATTTACTTGATATACAAAAGAAGGAAATACAAGTGTATGAGATCTGCCTTCTAACAAGGCATATACATGTCTATATATACAATGGATGTCCACTGTAGATTTGCTGGCAGTGGACCCGTCCAGCTGTGTAGCACAACTCTCTGCTTGCATCATGTGATCTCCATGATTATGTTGGCAGCCTTTGTGCCAATGGTCCTGTTCAGCTGTTGTGCCCCAGTTCTTGCTGGCAAAGTGTTGCCTCCCTGATTGTCCTGACAGGCTGTGGTCCTACCCAACTGTGCAGCACATGCCTTTGCTGGCAGATAGTTGCCTCCATGATTGTCCTGGCAGGCTGAGGTCCTACCCAACTGTGCCGCAATGTGATATTCCTGGCAGAGTGTGGCCTCTATAAGGGTCCTGACAGCCTGTGGGATTGTTGGCTCCATGTGCAAAGACCCTTTGATCTTTGGCAACAAAGTTTGGCTCGGTTTGCAGCCCTTTAGGCGGGAAATTCGTTTGGGAACTATGCGGGGCGGTGCACTATGCTGGATTAGCGATTGATATGTTATCCGTTACAATTATTACATTCAATTTTTTGTAATAACCAAATTTTAGCTTCCTAGTTTTCCGTTTCTAAGCAAGAAAATAAAATAAAAATTAATGTAAATAGAAATAGCAGATGCATTTTTTGTTATGGTTGTTATAATATGGCCAGCTTGCAAATTTAAAAGAATCATATCGCACATACTCAAATAACTTGTACAAAACTGCCACTTTTCCTTTCTCTATTCAGAAATATAATGGGTTTCAACAATTTTCGAGAAATAACCAACTAGGAATATATAAAAGTATTGTCTAAAAGAAACAAACTAAATACTCCAAAAGTAAAAGAATTTTCAAGATAATGGGTATTATAATATAGTAAAAGCTTACTCATATTAGATATTCGCATCAAATCATAACAACTCATCACAATTGAATGATTTACTAAGATGGAATATATATTAACTAATCATAATTAAATTAAAGAATTCTTTTTTTTGAAGGCAAATTAAAGAATTCTATATTATACAAGTAGATATCACTGGGGGTGTCCATGGACCGGATTAGTTCGATTTTTATTAAAACAGAACCAAACCATTTATATCGATCCGGATTGGTTCGGTTTTATCAGATTTTCGAAATTTTTGGATTTTTTGTTATATGAATAATATGTCTATCTTACTTTATTAAATTTTTTATAAGTAAATATATGTTTAATAAAAATTAAAAAAATTGACAAACATATGATCTATTAAAATATTCTTATGAGAGAATTATCTTAGTAACACATGATAGTTAATTTCTAAGTTGTCTGACAATAAATTTTCGTTTATGTACACTTTTAAAGTTAACCGAGTTTAATAATTAAACATAAAAATCAATATGATACCTAAATAATGATGTGTTATATTTAATTTTCAATTATCGAAATACCACTTCAAATTCGAAAAAGATATAAGAATATAATAGATCTTGGCATATGAATATGGAAAAATAAAGAGATTGATGTATTTAAAATTTAAATAACATTTGATAAAAAAATGATCATACAACATATTATTTAAAGTTAATAAAAATGGAGCACTTCATATTCTAGTATAATATTACATCCAATAAGAGAATCCCAAATATTTCTAGATATCTTTTAAATTTTTTTTTACATAAAGTCTTAAAAAAATATATAAAAATTATATATTTATATGTCAATTTAGTTCAGATTTTTTCCCAAACCAAATCAAACCAAACATGTTAATGGATTTGGTGCTATTTATATGTTAGTTTAGTTCACTTTTTAATGGATTTGGTGCGATTTTTATACAGCCCACGTGTCACCATCTTGCAAATTCATAAGTCATAACGGACACATACCTCAAATAGCTGGAAGTGCAATATCAAAAAGCCAGTACAAAACTGCCACCTTTCACCTTTCTTTTTGCCTCTCTTTTTCTCATTTCCTTGGTTTTTTTCCCTCTCGCTTTCCGTCCCCATTTTCCGCACAAAACTGAACACAGCCCTAAATCTCAAATTTCCCGTTAAAACGCCATTTCCACTGTAAGAACTATCACAGCAACTCTCTCTCTATATTTTTATTTTATTTTTTTCCTTTTTGTGTTCTCGTTTTATCTTACATTTTTGTAATTTCTTTTGGCTATTTCTTGTTTTTGTTTTTTCAGGTAAAATCAATAAGCATTTAGTTTTTTTTTTTTTTTGATAATAATAAGCATTTAGGGTTTTGAACACTAAATTCGCTGATAACGAATCAAATCAAATCATTCTTCGGGAAATTCTCAGGTTAGTTGTTGAATTCCACCAATTCACAGTAAAATGGTTAAATATTTTTTCACTGATTTTGAATTTTTTAAATTGTGTTCTGCCTTCTTATTGCATATGCTGATGATACATGTATATGTTAGGTGTATGAGCATGTGTACGTGTAATATGTAGAATGTTTGTTCGTACCTATGCATTATTTTTTTCCTCTCCAATTTTCGGTGGTTGATTTTTGTGATGTCAGCTTCATGTTATTTTAATGTTGAATTGTCCTCTCCTAAAAACTAATTTATTTGTGGAATTTGACTTTAGTTTATTTCACCTTATATTCCTAATGTGGATAGTATTTTATACTTAGTTTTTCTTTTTTCTCTTTTCTGGTTGTTACGTTTGTAAATTTAATTCAATTTGAGGTAAAGGTTAACTTTTTTCACTGCTTTTGAATCTTTTTTCATTGCCTTTTTCTGGTTTATGATATTTCTGATTGCGTATGCAGATGCTACATGAATATAGTGTGTGTGTGTATAGATAGATAGACATATATAACGTGTTACTTCAGTTCATATTCCATAATGCGTAGTAGTTAAAACTTGTCATCTTTTTCCTTTCTGGTTTTTTTCAGTTATGGTGAAAGGTTAGGTTCTCTGATAAGGCTCCTTGGCTCTTGAAGAGTGGAATATACTAGCCTGCCTCGGTCTGTAACTAATTTTTGTAGTAAACTGGAGCTCATTTCACTATGTCGGGATTCAATCGCAATGGAGTCAATTTGATCAACTGCTTCTTTCATTTTTCTGAATGGCATCCAGTTGAATAGCAAAGTCAACTGGGGCTTGAAGCCCATATCAAAATTTTCCCTTTTAAGAGTATCATACTACTTTTACCTTTCTTTATAATCAAGGATCATACTGCTTTTATCTTTGGATTGGTATGTGAATTGAGTTGCATATTGATTTGTAACAACACACATGCTAATTTTCAGGTGTGGGGATCAAATTGTTATCGGGTTGTATAGTGTAGTCATTACAACTTTCTGTAGTTTCTTGATGTTCGTGAAGGGGCATTCTGTTGCTAAAGTGACAGAAATGGGGTGCTGTGGGTGTTTTGGGTTCTGTTTTGCTAGGAAACCAAAGAGGGTGGGAAGGCCCAATTTGGGATTGTCAAATAACTGTTCTCAGGAGTCTTTGTTGTATGAAGAGGGGGAGGAAGAAGATGGTTGCTCCTACAATGGTGATGTAACTGATACTGGTAATGGGGATGATGGTGAGTATCACAGCCCAGTCAAACGCTCTGAAGAGATTCTCATGTACAGAGCTCAAAATGGGTTGGTTTGCAGGGAGATCCCTGTCAAGGAAACCCACAAAGTCACACGGGATGAGGTAATAGGAGAATATAAGATCTTTTTAACACTTATGGCAAACAAAGTATCCATGTATAGCTGGAAAATGGAAATGTTAGAACCTTCATTTAATTTAATAGACGCGAAAATGATGGTTCCACTTCAGCTCAGCTTCCATCGAGCTATAGATGAGTAGGTTTGGCTGTCCTGATAGGTGCTTTTTTTCTCCCCTAAAGTCAGGACTAAGAGGCCTTCTTGTTTTTCTTTCTAAGACGTTCATATATGAAAGCTTCTCCTTTTGGGAAATTCCTCCGATAATTGATGTGAAGCATATCTTTTTACTCATACAAAAAAATTAAGCCCGGAACAGTTAAATGAACATATTGGTTTTTAACATCTTAAGATATCTGATAGGAGAAATATACTCCCCTGATAGCATATGCTTACCTATTAAAAAAGGTAAACCGGAGCAGACATTTTAATTTTTAATATCTCCAAAGATGTCTGGTTGGAGAAATATACTTCCTTATGTTGCTATTAACTTGTTTTTGATAAGAAAAGGTTGAGTTCTTGCTAGTGCACCCACAACACCTTTTAATTTGCTATTAATTTTTTGTAATATACATTTGTATGTTGAACCAACTGAAGTGGCATGCTCTATTGCATGGTTATCCTTTTATGCAGCTATTTTATCGCATTATTTATCTTCTCTTGTACAAATGCAATTGTTGAAGTGGCACACTCTATAAGCTTTGTATGGTCAACCTTCTATGCAGCTTTTCTAAAAAGAAAAAAACGGCTGACCTTCTGTGCAGCTATTTTGTCACATTACTTTTCCTGGTGTTACTCATGGATGTAATTGTTCCAGGATGAAGATGGGAACAAGATGGTTAATGAGTATGTACGTGAATATAAGATTGGTTCTGGTAGCTATGGAAAAGTGGTGAGCTGATTGCTACTGGTGTTATGTTACCATTTTTAATTGAAGGAATTTCGGTTAAATATCTTGTCACCTTGCAATGACAGGTTCTATATCGGAGCCGTACTGACGGAAAACATTATGCCATTAAGGTAACATTATATGATATTTCAATTTAGCAATAAGAAATAAATTTTCATGATTTCATCTTATCTGGCTGTTGATACATGACTTAGCTTAAAGCATGCATTTCCTTTACCTGTACTCTCGATCTGTACAACTTCTGTTCTCATGTGTAAATCAGATTGCTTTAAACACAGAATTGGAGGTTTAAAGTTTAATATGGCTTTTTGTTACGGTTCTCTTTAATGGGTTGCTAGATTCATGATGAAATTTGTTAAGTTGTACTAGAGAATACTCACCATCAAACTCAGGTCATTTTCATCCTTTCATTGATCATTGGGAGGGAGGGATTAATCAACTATTTTATCCATGACCACTAGTTCTATTAGTAATTATTGTTGTGGAAGAATAGATGGAAAAAGGATAAGAAGTGAACTATTTTGTACGAATAGGTGGTTTTAGAATAATCACTGTTTGTTATTGATATTGGCTTAGTTGGTCTCTCAAATAGTGGTAAGTGCTTTCAGTAATTTATGCAGGCCTTTCGCAAGTCTCATTTATTAAAATTGCGTGTGGCACCTTCAGAAACTGCTATGTCGGATGTTCTTCGTGAGGTACATGCTCTGTTCTTCCATTGAATTTTTGTTACACCCACTTTTGGGTTATCGTCAAACTTTATTCTGTAATTCGGCTATACAATGCTGAACGTGAATCTCTTGCAAATGTAGGTAAACAATAGTCCATTGTGAAAATAGGAGAAGAGAGTAAATTTTTGTATAATTTCTTCAGTTATATGAACACGAAAATTTGTATAATCTTTAGTTATGATATAATCATTAACATCTTCCACAATTTTTAATTGCTCTATAGCATATTCGTTAAGGATAGCCCATTCAACAACAACAACATACCCAGTGTATTCCCACAAGTGGGGTCTGGGAAGGGTACTTACCCCTGCCTTTAAAGGCAGAGAGGCTGTTTTCGGAAGACCCTCGGCTCAGGAAGGGGAGAGGGGAGGGGCAATAACAAGCAAACCAATGGCAGAGAGGCTGTTTTCGGAAGACCCTCGGCTCAGGAAGGGGAGAGGGGAGGGGCAATAACAAGCAAACCAATCTGACAACCAAAGCAAAAAATACAAACCTAGCAAAAGGTAATGCAATCAGAAAACCGAAACACTGAAACACAAGACCAAGGATACCCCATTTAATGTTTTTAATGTTTATCTCGACTTTCAACAACCTTACTAAACTTAAGGGGGTGAAGTAGTTTGAGTGTGCTTATTTTGAAATCAGGAAACACTACAAAAAGCACTGAAATAGTAAACTACCCCCTAAATAGTGATCAATCACAGGAAAGAAAAACTATGTTT